ACAGAGTGGCTCATGGTGTGGATGCGCCATGGCTTCCGGCCAGCCTGAAGGGTGGGCCCTGTGCTGTTGCTGGGTTTTCGCTCATCAAGCAAGGCTGCTCTGAGGGATGGTGACACACGAGGACTCTGGAATGACTTACCTCGCTGTTCCTGCTTTGCAGCGACTGACGAGGGCGGAGCGTGGTGGGTCTTTGCTCTTTTGCCATATTTGCTGGGTCTGAGGAGGGTTCTGTTCCACCTGAAGTCTGACCTGGGTCACCCGTGAACCTGGGCCTAGCTGGGGCTGCTCGTCTGCCCAGCCAGCCAAGGAGGTCCCCGCAGTCTCTGACTTGGGGAGTTTGGACAAGAAGCCGAACCCAGCTGTGCATTGTGCCTTCCCACACACCGCAGGCTGGGTGTTGAGCCTGGAAGCAGTGTGAGCCCAGGGCCCGTCTCTTTATTTAACACACGGGATGAAGTAGAGAGAAATGGGCTGCTGTACAAAACAAAAGGTTGTTCTTCAGGGGAAGTGAGCAAGTGGGAGTAGGCCTTTGGAAGGTGGAAGGAGAGGGGTCTCAGTGGAGGACCCCCTCGCCGACCGAGGGCCCGGGGCCGGGCTAGGCTCGCTGCACCCACCGTGGTGCCCCTCACCTGCTTGCCAGCCTGCCATGTGCATCGCCCAGGACGGGGGGTCAGCCCTCCCTTCCCGGCAGACCTGCTGGCCCTAATGCACACCTTCTCTCTATTGCTTCACGGCTGCGCTCCATCCCCCGATGAGGTGCCCACTGCTGGGGTCAGAGACCGTCCCCGAGTCCCCAGACAGCACTGGCCATGCTGGTGGCTCGGTGTATCCTGGCGCAGTCCCCACGCTAAAGCCCACCCACCTGGCTTCCTCGGCTCTCCCAGTAACATTCTGGGCACCCCTGAGGACGGACCAAGCTTGCAGCACTCAGCTGAGCATCTGTACTGTCCCCCTTTCCGAATGAGAAAGCTTGAGTCTGAGGGGCCATTCTGGAACTGCCCAAAGGCACAGCTCACAGCCAGTGGACAACCAGGTCTGTCTGAGGCCAAGGTGCACACCCCCCACCCCATACCCAACCCCCCCAGGCGCCCTTGCTTCCTGGACCCCCGCCCGCCTCAGGAGTTTCCCACTCTGGCCTGGGCTGTGGAGCCCAGAGGCAGGGGAGGGAAGGAAGGAGGCAGGGCAGCACCCAAACTCAGGGCCTGGCTCTCGGAAGACCTGTCCACCCCCAGGCAGGCTGCCTGCTGTGGTCAGAGCTCGCCCAGCGGTCAGTCAGGGCCACGGGGATGGAGGACAGGCACTGGGATGGGGGGGCCTCTGGAGGCTCCAGCTCTGGAATCCGCTTCCTGCAGGGCTGTCTGGGTCCACCCCGAAGCCGCTCAGTCTGAAGGGAGAATGAGGCAGAGGGCCCGGGGCCGGGGCCGGGTCACGGGGATGTCTGGAGGCGAGGTAGGACAGGAATTTCTCCCAGGGCTGAGAAAATTGATTTTTTTCCATCATTGATTTTTTTATGGCAAAACTTCATAGCAGCGCCTGAATGACTTTATTTCTCAAACTCCAACAGTTTAGTATACGTGATGAAAAGTAAGATTTCCACAATTCTTCTAGTAGTTTTCTGGCCTTAATTTCTAGATTTTAATCTTTGCTCCATCGGATTTTTTTGGTGTGGGATCTCTGTGAGTTCAGGTACAAGTTTCGGGAACCAATTCAGGTTGTCTTAAGGGGAACAAAGAAACCTTTATTTTGCTCAAGAAAAACTGAAAGTCTGGGAGCAATGGCTGCAAACGGCTGGATCCAGGAGCTCGAGCAACGCCATGGGTACCGTCCTCCCACTCGGGCTTCATCCTGGGCAGGTCTCCCCGCAAGGTGGGAAAATGCTACCAAAGATTACAAAGGCATCTTCCCTCACCCCTGCGGGCTCAGCAGGACAAAAAGGTCGTGTCTTTTTCCTGAATAAAAGGCCTGCTGGAGGGTGGGCCGCTGGGTAGAGGGTGGACAGTTTCAGGGAAGCAGAGGGGAGGTCCCGGGAAGGGCGCAGAGGCCGCAGGCCCTAGCTTTGCAGGCGGTCACCCACCTTCTCCCTCTTGCTTAGACGCTGCACTTTGCCTCCTTGGGCGCCATTTCTGGCCTCTCTCTGTGCCGCCCATCTCTCTGTCCATCCATCTATTTGTGCCAAACCGTTCTCAGAGTCTCTGTTTCGTGTGTCGGGTCGTTGGTAAGTGGGTTTGGTAAGTTGATGCCTCCCCGTCTGGTACTGACCCATCGCTCTTCCTTTCCAGAACTTCCCTGGCTGTTCTTACATTATTTGTTTCAATTTGAATTTTAGAATCAGCCTGTCTGTTCCCAGGTCTTACGTGTTACTGGGACAAATGCGTAGACCGGGCACAGAGCCCACGTCTGCACCTGTCTGTCTGGGGAGGCCCTGGCTTCCCGCACCCGAGCCTTCCTGCTCTCCTGTGGTAACATCTGCAGCATTCGCAGAGATTGTGCACGAGGCTCATGGGACGTGGTCCTGTTTGCTCGTTGTGAGAGGGCAGGCTGCTCCCCGGTTCCCAGAAGTGGGGGGTAGAGTGCAGGAAGGAGCCCCCATCCATGCCGTGAGCTTCGGCAAGAGAAGGCAAGACCTGAGGGTCGGGTGTGTCCCTGGGGCCCCCACGATCCAGATTCAGTCTCGGTCTCCAGGCTGGAGGGGTGGGGGCCACGGAGGAAAGGGCATTCCACCCTCTGGCAGCCGGTGCTGGCCCAAGCCTGTGATCAGGGCAGGCCCGCCCGGGTGAGGCCGCTCCTCACTCCGGACTTCAGCAGCAAGGGCCTAGCCCTCCTCCAGCGGGGGGGCCACTGGGGCCTCCGCCCGGACCCCACAGGCCATGAGCTGGGCCCCGGCCCACTGCTTACAGCCCCCACCTGGCCCCCGAGGGGGAAGTTTCAACTGCCTGTGCTCAGCGAGGTGTGGTGTCCTGAATGCTTTGACATTTGAAATCTGTGTTGGATACATTTGTTCGGTTTAAACTGTACCGGGTTGAGGTGACTCGCAGGGAACTGTTTGTCTCCTGGGCCCAGGCCCGGCGTCCTGCTGCCACCCTGCCCAGCCTCCAGCCCAGCCACAGCCTCAGAAACCCTCCTGGAGCGGCCTCTCTGCCGTGTGAGCCCCTCCCCGTCCTGCGGAAGGTGAGCTGCAAACAGCAGAGAAACCAAGGGACGCGGGAAGGGGCCCCAGAGGGAACCTGCCTCCCAAGCTCGGCAGACGCAGGAGCGAAGGATGCCTGGCGGGGGCGCTGGCGGGAACCCCTGCAGGCAGGCAGTGGGTGATGGGCACCCGGGGCCAGCGGGTGTGGAAAGGCCCCTTCCCGAGGGCCTGGGTGGCCTTTCTCTGGCCTGTGCATCCTCCCGTTCAGCAGAGCCTTGTTCAGGTGGAACTGAAGATAATCCTTAGGCCACCGCCTCCTGGAAGGCCTTGTGATCTCCCAGGTGGGGCCTGGAGCACTGTGGAGGTGGGCAGGACCCCTGGAGGCCTCAGCTGGAGGCCTCAGCGCCCTCAAGGGGGCAGGCATGTGAGTCTGCCCTGTTCTGCACAGACGCCCGACCGCCAAGGGGGCCGCAGAGCGAACCTGCCCGCAACTTGGTGGCTGCTGGGCGTCGCGGGCCTCTGCCTGTGTGAGCAGGACGGAGGTGCGGCCGTCCTCACCCTGCAGAGACCATCTCTGTCGTACGATTGAGGACCCTCGGGCTGCAGGTGGACTGGGTCAGGAGGTGGCAGGAGGGGCCGCCTGGAGCCCAGGGAGCCCCAGGTGCAGACCCGTGGAACTTTCTAGGGAAATCGCAGCCGCCAGGCCGGAGCCCATTCACGCAGCCTCTCCAAGTACAAACAAAAACCTCTGTGAACCTGAAGTTCAAAACGAGCATGTGGAGCAGCTTAGCAGATGCAGGGACAGGCCCCGCTGCCTCCTGGCATGGCTGAGGCCATGCTGCCCCTGCCAGGGAGCAAGGGGCACCAGACAGCGGAACGTCAGGAAGAATAAAGAGCCACTCGACGCTGTTAGTCCATTGCCCCAGGAGGTGATGCCAGTTTTTGTTGTTGTTGTTGTTTTGTTTTGTTTGAAGATTTTATTTATTTATTTGACAGAGAGACACAGCGAGAGAGGGAACACAAGAAGGGGGACTGGGAGAGGGAGAAGCAGGCTTCCCGTGGAGCAGGGAGCCCGATGCTGGGCTTGATCCCAGGACCCTGGGATCATGGCCTGAGCCGAAGACAGACGCTTACTGACTAAGCCACCCAGGCGCCCCCTTTTTTTTTTTAAAGATTTTATTCGGTGATGCCAGTTTTAGGACTGCCCCCGGGGGAGTCCTGTTCCCCATCGCCCATCACAGCCACCCCTGCAGAGGGGCTGCAGGGATTGTTCTCAGCCTGGGGTCCTGGCAGGGCCCAGTCAAGTGTAGTCCAGCCCCTTGGCCTGTCTGAGGCCCGGTTTCCCCAGATGCAAATGACGTCGAAGTTAGAGGTGCTCGTAAGAAGCTGTTTTCGATGAGCTGAGAGGCAATGGGGTGGGGCAGGAGGAGGAGTCTTACATGTTTGTCCAAACATGAACTGTCCATATACATGAGGGATGCTGGGCTTGGCCATCCTAGAGGAGAGCCTGGGGCTTGGGGACTGCAACCATGACACATCGTGTCCAGACCTGGGAACACAGAGCCCCAGCCCTTCACCACAGCTAGGACATGCCAGAGTGTAGTCCACACCATCCGTGGGGCACGCCAGAGTGTAGTCCACACTGTAGGCTGGACCCTGTGCAAAGGGGCTCACTGAGGTGGCAGAGAGTCTGTGAACCACTTCTGAGCCAGGGGTGGGTGGGAAACAGGCAGAAAATGGAGTGTGCATCTGCCAGTCTGCCCCAAAAGACCAAGCACCTTCCATACTCCATGTCCCGGCTTGGTGGGGCAGGCAGCAGGGTGATGTCCCCTACACACCAGCCTAACAGCTGTCCTTCTCTGTCTCTCTGCAGATTAATACCTTCATGTCCTTTTTGTTCCCCATGGTGGTCATCTCCATCCTGAACACCATCATCGCCAACAAGCTGACCGTCATGGTCCGCCAGGCAGCTGAGCAGGGCCAGGTGTGCACGGTTGGGGACCAGCACAGCTCATTCAGCATGTCCATCGAGCCTGGCAGGGTCCAAGCCCTGCGGCATGGCGTCCGGGTCTTACGTACGTAACCTCTGGGCCCTCCGGGGTGGGTAGCAGCCAGAGGCCAGCATAGCGGCAAGCCTCACACCACCAAACAGGGCAAAGTTTAAGACCCAGGAAATGGAGTAGTCCCAGCAGAGACTCAGAAGTCTGGCTCCACCCAGGGATCAGTGTTCTTTACTCCACCCACTCATCTACCTATTCACCCACCCAACCATCCTTCCATCCATCCATCAGCCATCCACTCATCCATCCATCCATCCACCCATTGACCCATCCACTCATCCACCCACCCATCCACCCACTCACCCATCCATCCATCCCATCCACCCATCCACCCACCCACCCATCCATCCATCCATCCCATCCACCCATTGACTCATCCACCCATCCATCCTTCCATCCATCCACTCATCCATCTACCTATCTATTCTTCCATCCATCTATCCATTCTTCCATCCATCTATCCACAATCCATCCATCCTTCCATCCATCCATCCACCCATCCACCCATCCACTCATCCATCCACCCATCCACTCACCCATCCACCCATCCACCCATCTATCTACCCATCCACCCATCCATCCATTCACCCATCCATCCATCCCATCCATCCGTCCACCCATCCACCCATCTATCCACTCATCCATCCTTCTTTCCATCCATCCATCCATCCATTCATCCATCCTACGACTCATCCATTCACTGATTCAACAAGTCTCCTGAGCATGGACTCTGGGTCAGGCAGCTTCCTCACACAGACATGGAGCAGCAGAGATGGGGGCTACCATGTGTGCCAGGCAGTCAGGGACCTGGAGAGCCCTGAAGTGCAGCCCCTCTGCACTGTGACCCACATTCTAATAGGGAATCCTGAAGACCAACCCTTACAAAGATCCCAAGCCAGCCCCCACTGCAGGAGGGCGCAGGGTGGAGCTTGTGCTCATGTGGGTTGTGGTGCTCCATGTGTGGGTTCCTGGGCCTGGCCTGTGCCCAGAGATGGCATCCTTGAGGAGCCATCCAGAGGATGCTCTTTCTCAAAACACCCTGCCCCCTGCTGCTGAAGGCAGTCCCGCCTGACCCAACCCCCTCCCCAACCGCGACCACCTCCCTTGTGCCTCCCAGCAGCCCTCCCAGTTGCTGTCACCCTCACCCCAGCAGGCAGGCCTCTGGGCCTCTGCCCCAGGCTGCCTGTCCCTCAGCGGCCACTGTTTCTTGGAAGAAAGAGGTCCAGAGCAGCACTACCCAATAAGAATATGACACGAGTGCCCCACATAATGTTAAATGGTCTAGTAGCCACGTTTTTGTTTTCGTTTTTAAGATTTTATTTATTTATTTGACAGAGAGAGACAGCGAGAGAGGGAACACAAGCAGGGGGAGTGCGGGAGGGAGAAGCAGGCCTCCTGCCGAGCAGGGAGCCCGATGCGGGGCTCGATCCCAGGACCCTGGGATCATGACCTGAGCCGAAGGCAGACGCCTAATGACTGAGCCACCCAGGTGCCCCTAGTAACCACATTTTTAAAAGTAAAAAGAAATAGATAAAATTCATTTAAATAATTAATTTAGCCTAATATTTCCAAAGTCTTGCCATTTCAGCATTAATCATTATAATAGTATTGCTAAGAGCGTTCCTCGGGCCACAGTAGCCTCGTGGCCAGTGGCCAACAGGCTGTGTTCAGGGGTCAGGGTCACAGCCTTTGCTTCTGCTGTGTCAGGGACAGGCTTCCTGGAACATCCCCGTGCCACCAACCCATCTCCTACTGCGGCCAGCAGGAAGCCCTCCCATCATGGGGCCTCCCACAGGCTGGGTCTCCTGGGCCTGTGGAGTCAGGGCAGCTGCCAAGGGGCCAGGGCCTCAAAACCAAGCTCCTCCTGCAGGTTCGCCCCATGTCCCAAGATGGGGATGCCTCATCTCAGGGACGAGCTTCTCTTTGCACCAGGACCGCCCAGCCAGCCCCAGGTTTTCCCAAGTGGTTGGCTTTTTTATTGCTTTCTTTTTCACTGTGGTAAAATGCACTTAGCATACAATTTATGATCTTGACCATTTTTAAGTGTCCATTCAGTGGTATTACGCACATTCATACCATCAGTCTCCAGAACCTTTTCATCTTACACAACTGAAACTCTGTCCCCATGAAACACTAACTCCCGAGCCACTCTTCCCCAGCGCCTGACAACCACCCCTTCCTCGCTGTCTCTATGGGCTATTCTAGGGGCCTCAGGCAAGTGGGATCGTCTTTTTGTGCCTGGCTTATGTCTCTGAGCATGATGTCCTTAAGTTTCATCCACGTCGCGGCAGGTGTCAGAATGTCCTTTCTTCTTAAGGCTGAGTATACTCCAGAGTCTGGATAGACTGTATTTATCTGTCCGGTGTGGGTGGACACCCAGGTTGCTTCTGCCGTTTGGCCATCGTGAACAGTGCTATGGGCGTACAAACATCTGGTTGAGTCCCTGCTTTCAATGCTTTGGGGACTATACTCAGGAGTAGAATTGCTAGATCATATGGTAATTCTACTTTTAATTTTTTGAAGAATTTCCATACTGTTTCCCAAAGTGGATATACAATTTTGCATTCCCACCAACCATGCAGGAAGGTTCTCATTTCTCCACATCCGCACCAAAAATCACCATTTTCTCAGGGTTTGGGGTTTGTTTGTTATTTTTTATAATAGTCATCCTGGGTGTGAGATGGTATCCTAGTGTGGATTTGGTTTGCATTTATCACATGATGAGTGATGTTGAGCCCTTTTTCATGTGCTGATTAACCATTTGTGATCTTCTTTGGAGAAATGTCTGTTTAAGTTCTTTGCCCATTTTTAAGTGTGTAATTGGGTTGTTTGATTTTTGCTATTGAATTTTCATTTTCTGTGTGTCCTGGATATTAATCCCTGATCAAATGTGTGATGCAAATACTTTCTCCTGTTCTGCGTGTTACCCATTCGCTCTGTTGACTGTGTCCTTTGATGCATAGTTTGTTAATTTTTATGTAGTCTGGAGCATCTGCTTTTCCTTTTGTTGTCTGTGCCTTTGGTCCTATATCCAAGAAGTTACTGCCAGATCCAGTGTTGTCAAGTTGGTGCCCGTCATTTTCCTCTAAGAATTTTGTACTCTTAACTCCTCCATTTAGATCTTTGATCCATTTTGAGCTAATTCTGTGTAAGGTGTGAGGTAGGGGTCCAGCTTCCTTCTTCTGCACGTGGCTGTCCCGTTTTCCCCGTATTGTTTCCAGTACAATGGTCTGAGCAGCCTTCTAGGAAATCATGTGCCCATATCTGTGAGGGTTATTTCTGTCTGTCCCATGGTCTCTATGTTTGTCTTTAGGCCAATGGCACACTGTTTTGACTACTGCAGCTTGGTGTTAAGTTTTGAAATCAGGACACGAGAGTCCTCCAGCTTTGTCCTTCCTTCTCAAGATTGTTTCAGGCACCCCTCAAGACTCCACATGAATCTTAAGATGGGTTTTTCTATTTCAGCAAAAAAGGTCATCAGCATTTTGAGAGAGGTTGCATGGAGTCTGTAATTGTGGGTAGCACGGACTTTTTTTTTTTAAGATTTTATTTATTTATTTGACAGAGAGAGAGACAGTGAGAGAGGGAACACAAGCAGGGGGAGTGGGAGAGGGAGAAGCAGGCTTCCTGCGGAGCAGGGAGCCCGATGCGGGGCTCGATCCCAGGACCCTGGGATCACGACCTGAGCTGAAGGCAGATGCTTAACGGCTGAGCCACCCAGGCGCCCCGGTCACTGACATTTTTTTTTATTGTTATGTTAATCCCCATACATTACATCATTAGTTTTAGATGAAGTGTTCCATGATTCATTGTTTGTGCATAACACCCAGTGCTCCATGCAGAACGTGCCCTCTTTAATACCCATCACCGGGCTAACCCATCCTCCCACCCCCCTCCCCTCTAGAACCCTCAGTTTGTTTCTCAGAGTCCATCGTCTCTCATGGTTCGTCTCCCCCTCCGATTTCCCCTTCATTCTTCCACTCCTGCTACCTTCTTCTTCTTTTTTTTCCCTTAACATATATTGCATTATTTTTTTCAGAGGTACAGATCTGAGATTCAATAGTCTTGCACAATCCACAGCGCTTACCAGAGCACATACCCTCCCCAGTGTCTATCACCCAGTCACCCCATCCCTCCCACCCCACCCCCCACTCCAGCAACCCTCAGTTTGTTTCCTGCAATTAAGAATTCCTCATATCAGTGAGATCATATGATACATGTCTTTCTCTGTTTGACTTATTTCACTCAACATAATACCCTCCAGTTCCATCCATGTCGTTGCAAATGGCAAGATCTCATTCCTTTTGATGGCTGCATAATATTCCATTGTATATATATACCACCTCTTCTTTATCCATTCATCTGTCGATGGACATCTTGGCTCTTTCCACAGTTTGGCTATTGTGGACATTGCTGCTATAAACATCGGGGTGCACGTACCCCTTCAGATCCCTACTTTTGTATCTTTGGGGTAAATACCCAGTAGTAGCACTGACATTTTAACAGTGTTAAGTCTCTGTGCACAGAACAGGACCCATGTCTCTCTGTGTCTCAGGGGCTGTGGTCATCGCCTTTGTGGTCTGCTGGCTGCCCTACCACGTGCGGCGCCTCATGTTCTGCTACATTTCCGATAAGCAGTGGACCCCGTGAGTACCAGGAGCCTGGGACAGAGGGGGGAGGCTCAGGTTGGGAGAAGCTCCCCAAAACAGGTTGGCATGGGAGGTGGGGGCACTGACCAGAGCAGCTCAGGGCAAAGGTACAGGTCAGGGGTCCCCATGGGTTCGTGGTGTGTCCATGAATGGGCTAGGGAAGGAAGAAGGCCACAGAGGGACAGACGCCACAGGGCAGGTTACAGAGGAAAAGGAAAGCAGCCCCTAAGAGAGTGGGAACGAGACAAGTTTGGAGACATCTGGAGAGAAACAAGGAAGGGCTGGCTCTGCTGGATTTGGGGGACGGTGATGGCAGCTGTGTGGGCATCCTAGACCACCCCCAGGCTGGGGGAGTCACTAGGCACACTCCCCGGACTCAGGGAGAGCCACACCCACGCTGTGCCCTATTGCAGCCCAAGGACACACAGCAAAATCAGTAAAAGGAAAAGCCTGCGGAGGAGTCTGGGAGACCAGGCCCGGCTTCCAGAACCCCTCCCCAGGCTAATTGCCCCAGAACGAGCTGAGGCCACATGAGAAATGGTGTCTCCTGGGAAGCTCGCCAGAGGCCCAGCGCCCAGGGCTTCTGCTGGGGGCCAGTCACGTAAGCACCCCTGGCTGGCGAGCGCCCGAATTCCAGACTCCCGGGGGAAGGAGCTGCTCGGCGTCAACCACGTTGTTTCCACAAACAGTTTAGGCCCAGGGAGCCCCTCCTCTCAGGGGACGGTGAATCCCTGAAATCCAAGCTCCCAGATAGTGGCGAGACCAGCCTGGCCAGGAGGCCCTTCTGGGAGAGCAGCCCTGGGCCCACCATGGGAACTTTTTTCTGCACAGCCAGAGCCTGGGCTGCCAGGTTCTTCTCCGTGCCGAGGAACCACTGGGGAGGGCGGATCTAGCACAGAGGAGAAGGTGCACGTAGCAGAGCACAGCCCCAAGGGAAGGGCTTCTGAAACTCAGGGCTGCCTGCTGGTAAAGTGAGCTGCCTGGTGAGGGAGTGAGATCCCTGGGAGTGGAGGCAAGCAAGCTGAGGGTGAGGTACGCAGCTGCCCAGGAGGCAAGGAAGGTGTTCCTGCCCTGGCTGTTCAGTGGAGGCCGGGGACCAGCTGCTCCCTGCAGCCCTGGCATGCCGGGACTCTGCACAGGGCAGGCCAGGGGTCCTGCAGGGAGAGGTGGAGACGGGCCCGGCAGGGCAGCCACAACCCAGCTCCGCAGACTGGTGCCAAAGAGAGTGCAGGCAGAACTTCCAACTTCTCCAGAGAAGCCAGAACCTGGAATTTATGAAACATCCCCATGTCAAAAAGTTTACAAGTAGTTCTTACGATTTTTGTCCCAAGCCCACGGCGTGGCGGCCGCGGGGTCCGTGCCGGTCTGAGCGCCTCTCCCTCATCGCCCCCCCAGGTTCCTCTACGACTTCTACCATTACTTCTACATGCTGACCAACGCGCTCTTCTACGTCAGCTCCGCCATCAACCCTGTCCTCTACAACCTGGTCTCCGCCAACTTCCGCCAGGCCTTTCTGTCCACCCTGGCCTGCCTCTGTCCCTTGTGGGGGCGCAGGAGGGAGAGGCCAGCCTTCTCCAGGAAGACCAACAGCGTGTCCAGCAGCCACACCTTCTCCAGCAACGTCACTCGGGAAACGCTGTATTAGAGCGGAGCGGGGGGCCCGAGGAGGGGGCGGCCGCTTGGCCTCCACCCCCCCACCGTGGGCCCCCCGGCTCCGGGGGGCAGGAACGGGGCTCCGCAGAGGCCTCGGACCTGGCGCCCACCCCCAGGGGCCCTCATTCCTTTCAGCGTCTCCCTCAGCCCGCCCCACCCCTCCCTCGGGGCCTCTTTGAAAGCCGGGGAGAGATTGCTCCTCTCCGGGATCCAGAAAGGGCCTTTAATGAGGAGAAATTAGTGGTGGGTGAAAGGCAGACTTCTTTGTTCCCACACCACTGGGTGTTCAGAGAGGACAGAAATGAAAGGCACAGGCCTGGCTGGGCGGGCAAGGGGAGGCAGCGGCCCCGAGAGGCGGGGGCGCTGGGAGGAGTCCGGCTGGCGGGGCCGTCGTGGGCATCCAGGGCTCCCGGGAAGCTTTGATGTGTCCCGAAGGACAGCCCAGGGGTCGGCTGGGTCAGGCACCGGCCAGACCCAGGCCTCTCTCTCCTCCTCGCCAAGACGGCCAGGCTCTGCAGGGACGCCGGCCACCGGGGGCTTGGCCGGGAAGTCCTCGTGCTTGGCAGAGGCCAGGCCAGCAGAGTTCTGCGTCCTCACACCCGCCCAGCGGCCCAAGCCAGGCCGGGGACGTCCCCATGGGCATTTTTGCTCCCGCTGCGCGGGTGAGCTCCCTGAGGGGAAGGGGGGCTCCCTGAAGGGCAGAGGTGATGGCCGGGTCCCAGAGAGGTGCCATTTGCAGGGACTCAGCCACAGGTGAGGAGGAGGAGCCTGGGCGCCCTCAGCCCGCGGGCAGCCAGGCCGAGGCCCAGCGTCGTGGATCACGGCTGAGCCCCGGGCACCCGGAAAGGCAGGCACCTCCTTGATCTGTAAGAGCTGGTCTCTAGACAGGATGGCCTGTCCTGGTCTTGGCCCTAGAAGGTCCCCTGAGCCAGGGGAAGCAGATCCCAGATGAACTGCCCTGGGTAAGCTGACGGGGAGCGGCAGACGGGCCCGGAAAATGAAATACAGGCTTTGTTTAAAGTAGGTTCTCACCGTCCTGAGGGAGACTGTCAGGCCCACAGCTGTGAGCTGCACTGACTCAGGACGCAGGAGGCCTGGTCCGCGTCCCAGGGCACCAGGACTCGATCCCCCACCCATAAAAATGACAAGCTGGAGAGTCCCGTCTCCACGGCGGCTTTGGATCTGGGCCCCTACGTGAACCCCACAGGATCCTTCTCCAAGCCACAGGACCTTTCCCGGGCAGTCGGCCCACCGCCGGTCCGTGGCCAGGCAGCCCTCCCATGACCTGGGGGCCACCCGCACAGGGGATAAGGCCCGCCCAGATCTCACACACAGGCACCTGCTCTGGGCGGGTGAGTGGGACCCCTGGGCCCTGCCAGGCAGGCAGCGAGTGGTCATCAGTTCGGCCTTGTCCGGTGCCCAGGCAGTGGGCATCGGACAAGGGCCTGGACTCCTCCTGACGGGCCCTCAGGCACCCCCCACCCCCTGCTGGCCCCTCGGGCACACCTGATCCTCAGAGTCTCCGTTCTGCCCCCTGACGAGTGCGCGTGGTCGTTCAGCCCCCTCGGCGGGGCTGACGGTGCCGGTCCTGGAGGACCCAGCCCGGAATGGACGGAAGAGACGGTTCCCTGGGGCGGGGGCAGATCAACTAGGGATGGGGGCCCCCACCAACCCAGGGCCTCCTAGACGCAGCTGGGCCAGGGTGTGCACTGCGGCCCCAGCCCATTTTACTGTTGTGGTCCCCACGTTCCCCTGTGCACACTCCCTGCAGTTAGAGATGCGCAGCCCCGCGGAGTCAGCGGCTGGCCGCGTCCCGCTGTGGCCCCCCAGCCGTTCTCAGCAGCCAGCGGCCTGCTTGGCTGCTCAGTAGTGATGCTGAAAGCCCTTCATGTCGCTCACACAGACATGCCCCAGCCCTCACCGTGACATCCCGCCGTCGGCAAGAACAAAGCCCCGAGTCTCTTAATAAAGGAGACTGTGGCCCCCGCGGTTGGAGTCTTCTGTCGGGGGCCGGGAGGCCTGCTTGCACCCGTCTGTTCACTCACACATTTATTCAGCAGGCATTTGCGGGCGCAGCAGAGGGCCCTGCACTGGGACCCTTGTACCCAAACCACGCGGGCTTTGCTCACGTCTCCCAAAGGCTGGGGACTGAGGGACCGCGATCCCCCCAGCTCAGGTCCTGCCCCCACTGGAGCGTCAAGAAGCAGCAGAAGAGGAAGGAACTGGTGCAGAAGACCCCATACGCCATGGGGTCCCCTCGAGGCCTGGAGTCAGGGAGACCCGGGTCCACGCTGGCTATGTGATGAACACCCTGCCTGCCCTGAGCCCGTTTCCCGCTCCGTGGGCTGGGCACAGAGGGGGCCACATGACGGGCCTGCACAGTCCTGCGAGTGGTGGACTCTGGCCCCTCCAGCCAGTCCAGAAAATTGAGGGAAGGAAGTTGGCTTCCCGCCAGGGGTCAGTGGTTGGGGGGACACTTGGGAACCCATCCCCTGACAGAGCTGCCCCCCTTGTCTCCTCTCCGGCTTCCCCTTCTAGGCCTTCACCTCTCGCCGGCAGTGTCCCCACGGAGTCCAGCCTGGGGGCGAGCAGCATCGTCCCAGGCTATGGGGCTGCAGGGAGGGCCCTCTGTCCTGCCTCCTCGAGTGTCCTCAGCCGGAGGAGCCGGCTGGCCTCAGAACCACCGCATACCTGGAGGCCAGCTTGCCAGGCCCAGCCCACACCGTGTGCACGCACAGAAGCTCCAGGACGCGGGGGCCTGCGCCTGCAACAGCTTCTCTTGCAGAGTCCCACGCCCGTCCTTCATGCATTCATTCACTCACTCATTGATTCAGCTGCTGGGTGCAGAGGCCCATGCCTGTCCTTCCCTTCATTCATTCATTCACTCACTCACTCATTCACCTGCTAACTGCTCCTCAAGGCCTGGCTTTCTCAAAGCTGACTTGCTGCTCCATATTCTGATTGGCACAGGGAGGAGGTGTGAGGCTCTGGATGCTCCCAGCTCTGCTGTAGGAGTCACCTGCCCCTCGTCAGCAGGGGAGTCTCAGGACTCCCCTTCACTCCCAGGGTGAGGGGCTCACTGGCCAGCTCCAGTAGGTGCACTGACATCCCACAAAAATATCCAAAGGAATGAAACTCTAATGGTAGAATTCAGGGCAGCCAAGGAGAGAAAAGTTGGGGGACAGTGGGCAGGCAGTCTGCAACCCTGACCGCAGGTCCGTGGCACTTTCCCATGAGTCCAGAGCCCTAGACAAGCTCCTCCTGCAAGTTTCCTGAGCTTGGATCCCCGTTGCTCCTGTGCACAGGAGAGGAATCCACCCTCCCGGCTCTCCTGGAGGCATCCTGGCCTATTAGCATCACTAGGCAACAGGAGGAGGGCTTGGGAGGGAATTCCATACGTTTAAACATACACTCGAAGGAAGGAAAACGCGGCCGTCGGCCGTCGGCCGTCGGCCTGGGCCTGCCGCTGGAGCCTGAGCTCGGGACAAGCTCCCCCCACACCCTCCCCCTCCTCCCACTGCCCCAATTATGATTTGAATTCCAGTTTTTATCAGAACTCCATGGAAACCAGGTCCAGACTGAATTTATGAAGGGAATGACGGTGTAGGGACGAGGACAAGGGGGAGGCCGGGCGCCAGAGTCGGGAAGCGAGGAGCCCACCGTGCTGCACGTGGAGGGGGGCACACGCGTGTGGGCACACACACACGTGCACCCACACTCGAGGGCACTGGCCCTTTGCCCCGGTGGGCCTTCTCCCACGGTGCTGAGAGGCTGCCAGTTGCAGCCTGAGGCCCAGCTTCTGAGGTGCAGACCACGGGTGCCTGGGCCTCTCGGCTCCCGCCTTCCCCACTCGCTTCAGGATGACGAGCCATGTGGGGGCCTCGCGCTGCCCTAGGAAGCCCCTGGGGAAGGCCCAGCCAGGCCCAGAACCGGGGCAAGACCCGTCAGCTCAGCCCCAGCCACCCCGACCTGTCAACTCTGACAGGGCCCCTCGGGGAGCGGTGGCAGGGACCGGCACCAGGCCTCACTCACCCCGCACCCGGGCCTCGTTGGCAGCAGCTGACTCACACAGGGGCTCCGAGGCCCACACCCCAGGGAAGCTTTTTTTTAAGATTTTATTTATTTATTTGAGTGAGAGAGAGCACAAGCAGGGGAACAGGCAGAGGGAGAAGCAGGCTCCCCGCCGAGCAGGGAGCCCGACGCGGGGCTCGATCCCAAGACCCCGGGGTCATGGACTGAGCCACCCAGGCGCCCGGGGAGTCTTGTTCTCATCCCCAAGCAGGGTTCTCACTGTCTTGTTTCAGCTGGGAGTTGAACAGGAGCCCCTGGGCTGTCTCTCAGGACGCCATGAGAAACGCTAACCCCGCCATCTGGGTTTCAGTCAGACCCCTGCCCTCACATGCTGATCTTTGCCCACACAGAGCTGGTGCTTACTAGATGCTCAGAAAATCTAATGAGCGAACCAACAGGCAAGCGTCCGCGTCCCTCACCGGTGCCTGCTGGGGGCTGTAGGGCCCCTCGTCACTACCGCACGGCGCCCGGAACTTCACGGACACACAAGGTGAACTCGAGGCAAAGCGGGACCCACTGTGGTGTCCCCTGGGATGACACAGCCCCAGATCTGCAGCCACTGGCGCAGCTCAGCAAACCTCCCTCCAAGCACAGCCTGGAGCCAGACGAACATGCACAGAACATTCCGGCAAGCATTCCTGTAAGGAAGCAATCCTGCAGTGAGGATGGATGGTAGCCAAGGGGGCCACAGCTGGTCTGGGTGCTGCTTGGCATGGCATGAGGGCACAAGTCCCCCGCCCCCGGGTGTCCCCTCGGGGCCCTGCAGGTTGGCCAGAAGACCTGAGGGGCTCCCAGGCCCCCTGTCTCTCAGGAAAGCAAGAAGTTCCCGAATCTGAACAAAACTCCCAAAAGGACATTTTGCTCGCCGTCTGTTGTCAGCTAACCCCCTCGGTTTAGAGGCTCAATCCTCGGCCCCATTTGCCTCCCAAGACCCCGAGTGCCCGTGGGTATCCCAGGTTGGGGGCTCCACCCACCATCACTATGCTGGGAGGGAAGTTGGTCCCCAGCAGCCTCTGCAGGGTGGCCTGGACAAGCACGTGCCTCCGAGTCCCAGAGCGCCCAGCCCAGCAGGGAGGGCAGGCTCCAGGTGCCATGTGCGGCTGGCACCTCCCCTCCCCACCCTGCTGGCGCCCCGGGATTGCCTCCCCGACCAGTGACTGGGGGGTGGGACTCAGGGACCGGGTCACGAGGGCCCCGCTGCTGGCTGTCTGTGGGGCCGGAGCTGGGGAATGAAGGAGTCACTCAGGCAACATAAGGCTGCCCCACCAGTTCCTACCAAGCCAACCTTTCCCCTGAATCCACCTGCTGCTTATTTCCACCTGCTGGTATCACTGTGCACAGTCCTCAGGCTTTGCTCTTTGCTTTCCATCCAGAGTTTTTAGCTTTTATTTTATTTTATTTTTTTAAATGTTTTATTTATTTATTCATGAGAGTCAGAGAGAGAGAGAGAGAGGCAGAGGCAGAGGGAGAAGCAGGTTCCCCGCTGAGCAGGGAGCCCGATGCGGGACTCGATCCCAGGACCCCGGGATCATGACCTGAGCCGAAGGCAGACGCTTAACCATCTGAGCCACCCAGGCGCCCCAGAGTTTTTAGCTTTTAGTAATCCGTGGGACAGAACGTCTGCCTCCGGCTTTTTCCGTCTCACTTGGAGGTGTAAGCGTGCAACTTACTTTTGACACTTCTGACATTTTAGAGACTGTTCCGAATCTGCTCATTGAGAGGCACATCCTTCTTCCCACAACTGCGGATGTTCTGAATGGACACACCAGTGCATCATTTCCAGGCCTTCCCTCTCCCCAAGAAGCACAGAAGCTTGGCCCGTCTTCCCCTTTGCTCCTACACGCACCTGCTCCATCCATCCCTATGGTGGGATCGGAATTTCTGAGCCGCAGGGTCTGTGCATTTTTAATTTCACTGCTACAGCCGAACACTTTCTGCAGATCCATGTCAGAGCACGTCCCCACCGGCGTCCAGGGGCTTGTCATGAAACTCTTCAGTCCCTTCAAAGAAGGTTCTGGCAGAATGCTCCATGACATTCTCTCTCTGCCCCTGGGAGTTCAGAGGAAAACGTCAGCCTCACTGAACCTCCAGCATGAGCCATTTCCTGTAATCTGTGCAGGGAGGCCGGCTTCCCCGGGGGTGCCTGTCACACACTCGAGCACCTGCGGCAGGCGGCCGGCTTCCCTGCCGCCCCTCCCATCTCTGCTGGGGGGCTCCAGGGGGCAGAACTGCTTCAGGAACAGAAGGGGATCTGACCTTGTGTTGCTTATTTGCACAGGTAACTGCAGCCCCAACCAAACCCTCCTGGTCCCACTGGAAATGACTCTCTTGACTCACCCCTTCCAAGCAGAGGCTCCCCCCACCTCCCAGGCAGCGATTTCCTGTATTGAGCCCTAGACGCTTGCCCAGAGGGCCTTTAGGAAACCACGCTGATTCTCTCGAGTGTTTGTGTGTCTTGTCAACATGAGATGTGGTGGCTCAGAAATACTAAATGAAAATAATAATAATAATAAAATACTCAACAGCTGGCCAAATCCTGAAATGCTGGCGTTGCATGGAAGCTTCCAGAGAGCTGCCCCCTGCAGGGGTCACGATGGGCAGAGGATGCCCGAGGCTATCCCGGGAACTCCTGTGCCCCAGCCTGCACTGGGCGGTCCCGCAGGGCAGACAAGTGCCATGGCATCATTTCCGTCATTTCACTGCTTTGCCTGACAAAGAGCTCTTGCAGGGGCCACCCTACCACCCGCCTAGTGGCCCACACATCTACCTGTCTGCCTCTCTACCCTTCACGGAGCGTAAGCCCCGCCTCTCAGTCGGGACAAGACAAGAGAGAGAGAACGGGAGAGAGAGGGGTGCACCCCGCACTCCCTGCCTATCTAGCTGGCTGCGTGCACATTAGCTTTCAAGATGCAAACCTTTTTGCTTTGGGTAAACTGATCCATTCTCTCATGGAAAATGTAAATGACGTGAAAGAGATGGGTCCCGAGGGCAGAGTTGCTTAGTCCCGCCCAGAGATGATCCCTGCTGGCAGACGGGGAGCACGCTGCGACACACTCCTGTGCCCGGACGGCAGGCGCGCTCTCACGCCCAATTCCCACCCAAACCTGCGTGCCCCCATGCGGTGCAGCCCATCGCCCGCGCAGTGCTCACTCCAGTGCACGTTGGCAAAGCCATGTTTTAGACACAAAGTTAAATTTCTGATACTCAGGGGTTTCCAAAAGTAAAGTGGCCTGTCTTAGGCAGAGTGAGGTCCCTGTCCCCGGACACCTGCCGTGTCTCTACGTGCCTCAGCTGACCTGGGGGAGCTCAGGCATGAGAATGGCATTCCAGGTGTTCTGCCAGATGGGACAGGGCGGGGGGGCAGGCCTTCCTACCCACCCTTCCTTGTCTAGCCACGACTGAATGAGCCAGCGGGGGAGGGGGGACGGGCACAGTGAGGAGGGGGCAGGACGGCAGCGAAACCCCTGCTGTGCTCTGGCCCATGGGTGGCCTCGCAGTCGTCACTAAGCAGGAAGGGGGCATTTCCTCCCACTGGTGAGGAAATGGAGTCCGGGAGGGAGACCCAGCGGCACCCCTCAGGGTCAGCAGCAAGGCAGAGGATGTTCTGCTCTCCCAACTCTGGCCCAGGGTTCTTTCCACCAGGGTCCCTTCCGTGCCCCCCAAGCCTGGGCCGCGTTCAGCCCACCTGCCCCCATATGCCGATGTCGCTTTACTGTCCTTTCTCCCTCCTGATGCGCTTTCCCTGGACGGCCAATGAGCACACAGCTTATGGCTTCTCTGGCCCCAAGTCATCTGAGGAGTCTGATGGAGACATGAAAACCCCATTTCAAAGTCATCTGTATCACGTCAAATTCCCACCCAAACCCCCAGCTCCCAACGCCCTCCAGGGAGCCCTGCCCAGACTGGGCCACCCATGGGGGATGGAGCCTCCAGCTCAGCAAGGAAGCAGAGCCCCCCACACCCCAGGCAGGCTGGTGGCTCTAATCCAGGGAGGCTGCTTGGGGGAAGCAGTGGAGGGGGCAGCCTCAGCCATGCTCCCCCAGAGCCCACCGAGTACGTGGAGATTCCCATGAACAGATTTACTTGAGCCCCTCCTGAGTGCCAGACCCCAGCTATGTGGGGACCCTGAGTTGAGCAGGGTGGGCCCTGGGGCTTCCAAGGAGGATGGATGGGAATCAGGAAAACAGAAAGGAGATAGGAGACTGGGGTGGGCAGTCAGGAGCAGACAGAGTGGCTGGGAGGAGCATGCTTCCCCGGGGTTGGGACAGTGGCCCGTGATAGCAGAAGGCAGCCAAGGGCAGTGGGAGGACGGGTGGGCAGGGCTGCACGACGCAGCTGGGGGCCTCGTTCTGAGCTTCTTGGGGCCGTGGGGGTGGGGGTGACATCAGAGCCCTCACAGAGCCCCCCCATCCAGCCGTTGGCCCAGCCCTGCCGATGGGACCCTGGCGTCCGACAGAGAGTGGTCAGCAGGGGGCCAGCAACGTGGGCTCTGTCTACCGACATCAGTCACTGCTCTTGGGCCCAAATTACTCTAATCACGTCCTCCTCCCGGCAGTCAGGCTCCTCTGCGCATCCCTGTCATCTGTTTACATTAGAAAGTGACACGTCAGTGGGGCCTCGAGGGGGAGAGGCTCTGCCCAGTCGCCCATACCCGATCTCCCCAGCAGAGCAGAGCCCCACCTCCCCTGCAGCAGCATGAGGCCCCTCCTGTCCTGCGGGGTGGCCCCACCTCCTGTCTGACCCCTCCAGGCCCCGAGCACCACAGGCTCCCCCATGTCTGACTCCAGTGCCCTGGAACCTCCCACCTGACCCCATGGCCCACTCTGCCAGTCTGTATCCTTGCTTCAGGGGCACCTACTCTAAGTGCCACGCCAGGGAAGGAGCCTGGATCGGGAGCCATGGGGGGGAGGCCCTGGCAGCCCAGAACATCAGGCTGCCTCTCTGGGTTGGGACCCCCAAGTCAGGGCTCCAGGAGGGAGCCTGGGAAGTCTCGGATGGACTGGCCCCTGCAGAGCCTCCCTGCAGCCCCGGGAGACTCACCCTCCTCACCATCTGTTTACAGGGGAGGGAGGGGCCGAGAGAGAGCCCCAAGCAGCCTGTCACCCCTGTCCCCTGCTGCTCTGGGAATTCAGCCTTGCTGGGAGTGGGCAGGAAATGAATTTTAAGGCCCTCTTTCCACCCTGGGTCCTGACCCGCCTCTTCCCCTGCCCCAACCCCAACCTGACCTCACCCAATCGGAGCACCAAGAAGGGGGAGACATGGATTCTTGCATGATGAGGTGGGGTCTGTGATCCGGAGGCCTCTGTCCATCTAGGTCACCTCACAACGGTGAGCATGACAGACTCTGAATCCTGGGGGGGTCCTAGCCGCCCCTAGGATACCCTGTGCCTGCTGCCCCCACTCCCCAAACCTGCCTTCGCAACCTCCGCCTCTCCCCCGCCGCTCCCCGCCAGAGGGGCCGTCCCTGTCTGCAGCCCCCAGCACGCCCCACTTACCCAGAAGCGAGGTTTTAGCCCCATGATCCTGCTGGCCAACCATGGGGATAACGACCAAGAGCTGCATTTCTCCAGCGTGACGTCTGTGCTCGCCAATCTCCTACAGTTGCCCGGTCCTGGCCACGGC